GCAGCTCTGCAGGATTCTCTGTTAAATAGCCTCTTGATTTAATTTAAAAACCTGTGTTGATGGTTTATTAAATGCCAGACATGTTACTATTAGCTAATAAAGAGATTGTTTTGTCTCAAGAGTGGATCATACTTGGTAATTCAGACACAGAAGAAAATCAAGTTTTTGCCTTCAACATTGTTCTAGCAAGGAAAGGAAAAGAGCTGCAGCGAGCCAGGAGAGCCCGGGGGGGTTGGAAGCAGATAACACCAAAACATTGTAAGGGTTTTGTTTTTTCCCAATTAAAATTCTATTAGATCTGTGGCCACAAAGATGGATGTTTGCTCTTTCAACTTCAAGCTGGAGATTATTCTTAAATCTGCAATACGCAGAGTCTGAGGCAGGAGAACATACTGCCACTGGGATAATGTGAAATTGCTGAGCTAATGCTTCTTCAAGATAGACAGAGGTCGTGCCTAATGTGTATTCCAAGACCAGCTGGGATTTCAAAGGATATTAATGTGAAATCATCTGGCCATACGTTCACCTCTAGGGCCATTTTCTTCCTTCTTTTGATTTACCTTTTGCTGACAGTGGTCTGAGTTGTGACAGCCAGAGCAACTCCCTCCCTCCACGGGAGGGAGGACATGGCCTTAGCTTCCCTGGCAGTTCGCTAGGGAGCACCAGGAAACTGACCTACTCCCTAGCCTTTGCCTGTCCCTAGTTCAGGGCACCCTGTCTCCTTCCTCCTTGATCTACATACACTCAGCAGCCTTGCCTGGACCCAATCCTTTCCCCCACTTTGCAGCCAGAAGGAATCTTCTGAAACTCAAACGTGACCATATGAATTCCTGCTCAAAATCCCACTGCTCCTCAGGCTTACATGCAAATTGCCAGACACAGTGTACCAGCCCCGTGTGAGCTGGCCCCTGTTATCACTCCCATCCTTTTTCCACTGTCTCCCTCCAAGTCTCCTGCACATCATCAAGTCGGAACTACTTAAAGTCTCCCAAATACATCAGTCATTCAACAAATATTTATGGAGTACTTAATACATGCTGGGTACTAGGAACACAGAAGATGAACAAAACAAATAAAAATCCCTGGATTATCCTAGAGGAAACAAAGTAAATAAAATATGTAGTATATTAGAAAGGGATAATTTCTAATGATTAAAAAGTAACAATAAAATAGAGAAAAAAGATATAAAGTGTCCCTCTTGCTTACAGATCTTGACACATACTCTTCTGCTTATTTTAATCAAATGTACTACTGCATAGTATATTTTGTTCCGATCAAATGTATAATAGAACATATTGTCCATACTGAGTTCTCTCACTCTCTCCTCCCTTTGTTCTCAACTTTGCCCTGTCTTTCTCCTGAAAGCCTTCTTTTCCCCTAAAATCCATCTTCCGTGCCCCTCTGACATGATTTCACAGTCTTCTATTGCTTCCCTCATCCAGTACTCATCAGTCTAAATTACCATCGCTGGATAGATACCCATCTTCCAGGTGGACAGTAAGTCTCTGAGCACCTACTCATTCATGTTGTTCCCTCGGTATGCAGCACGGGTCCAGTGTTTAGTAGCTGCTCCTGCTGATTATATGTTCTGACTAAGACCACACTAAGAGACACCCTGCAGAATGAGTGGAAATGATTCTTTCTAATGATCTTCTCATTTGCATCTTGTAATTGACAAATACTACCTGGTATACATTATACCCTGATTGTCTGTGAATGAGTAGTGGGAAGAGCCAATTGCCATAATAATTTAAAATTTTCAGTGGTTTGTGTCTAAGGATTTCACAACATAAGACCCCAAGTCTGGTTTCTACCAGATCTTAACCAAAAATTCAAGTCAGACTCTTTAACAGTTCTGTGAACTTTTGCAGCTACTGGCATGTGGGGTTTGGTAGATTAATTACTCTGAATCCACTCAACAAATATTTACTTATTAAAGTGGCACTGTGCCACATACTGTGGGACAAAGATGAATAAGATATGCTCACTGTTCTCCAAAGCAGTCACGGATGGCAGCAGTTTTCAAACAGAATATGTGTGTACCGTGGGGTACTTTCCAAGAGGTACACAGGCAGGAGTAGTGTTAACAGAATCCATTTTCAGATCCTTAAACTGAGCTGCCTGGAATGGCTTGCTGAGAAGCCAAACCAGTTCTACTTTTTCTCTCACTTTTTCCAACCACCCTGTTTCCACTTTACAGAAGACAGACAGACCTCTTACCTATTCTGAGTCACACTACGTATTACCCTGGGTGTAAAAACACAAAAGGAACCATTAGAAATGTCAAAAGAAGTCTCCTATATCTGAGGTACCATAACTCCCTCCTCCATCTCAAAAATTGATGTAGCACCAATAAATTTTTACTCTCAAGCATAAATGTTTTTCCAGATTTTCAATACACATGGGTTTTGATCGATTAGTTACTGGTAATAATTGCATGATAAACTCAAACTTGAAAAATAATACTTAGAGCCCAATGTTAGTAAAATCTTTTAAGTTAAAATTTCAAATTTAAATATTTTTGTTGCATAGGAATATGATAGAGCAACAAAAGATTTTCACACATAAAGATATGTATTACATTAAAATAAAATTCTTTGGGAGAAATGGAATGAAGATGTGAGTTCTAGGGTTGAGAGTAGAATGTACGCCCAACAGACGCAAGGCCCTAAGTTCAATTCCCAGGTTGATACTTTCCTTCCTCCACCTCTCTTCTTTTCTTTCTCTCTGGAAGCCACTGAAGTGGCCCTGCTTCCACCACAGTTCTAGCCAAAACACAATTTTTTGTATAAAGACTTCCACAAAATGGTGTGATTGCAACCATATCTTCTGTGGTCTTTTCTTCTGTGTCCACTCAAATTTCCTTCCATTTTCCTGGTGTCCACCAAATATGGTTTCACCAGAAAATCTGTCCAATATCCTTGTAGTCTGACTTTAGGAAGGTTATTAATGAAGATGCTATGTCAGGCTGGCATCAATAACAACGCTTAAGGCCACCCCTGTACACTTTCGTTCCACTCAACAGGGTTAAGTGTCATTTATCATTAGTTCTCCTTAGTTTTCTGGCCCCTTAAAAACTCACATGAGGGCGTGCATGTCTGCATCTACCTAAATTACTCCTGCAAGTGAGCTTGTGAGCAACTGAATTAAATGTCACTGCAGGATTGAACATCTGTTACATCACATTAAGCTATCGCTCTCCACACTCATAAATCTTTACAATCAAAACAGATTAGTCTAGCACGTTATGTCTAACAAACATTCTCTTTTGTCATGTTGTGGCTCTTGCCCAAAAGGAGATAATAGACCAGTGGATGAAAGCAATAAAATCTCATCACTGGTTCAAACGTGGTCATGTGGTGAATACAGAATAATGACTCCTTGACAGTGAGAGAGATAAACAGCGATATAACAGGCTGGACAATGATGGGTGGAAGGCTCAGCCTCGTGAAACTCATTATAACAAAGTCTGGGGGAGAAATACTTGTCTGGTTTTAGAACCAAGAATAGCTCCGGTTTTCCTGAGCTTGTGTTTTCCTAATGGACCCTGGACTGCGTCATTCCTGGGGGTTCTCTTTTTCCAATTGCTGAAAAGTTGAGGATTACATGGGTGGCTCCAAATAGCAGGAGAAGCATCGTGATGGGTGGTGTTCAGTCTCACTCCTGGTTCCGTGTACTGTCTGTATTATTTTCTTTGCTTCTTTCCTTTTGCTTTTTTGTATTGTGATAAAATAGAAATGACCCTAAATTTATCACTTTAACTAATTTGAAGTAATTCAGTGGTTGTAAGCAGAGTCATAATGTTGTGCAACCATGTTCACCATACAGCTATAAAACATTTTCATCTTGCAAAACAGAAACTCTGTACCCTTTAAACAATGACTCCCCATTCCTCTGTCCTTTTAGCCTCTGGCAACCACCGTTATATTTCTTGTCTCTAGAATTATGACTACCCTTAGATACCTTCTATAAATAGAATTGTACAGTTTCTCTCACCTTTAATAAATGCTGTTTTCTTTTTGTAAATTTATATCCCCTCCTAAAATGAAATGAATAATGAATAAACAAACAACTATGAAAGTAAAGCAAAAAGACTGCCTGGGATTGAGAAGGGTTCTATTCTTATGAAATCAGTGATAAGGATATAATGTTTGCTAATTAGAACAGAACATAATGGGTTATAATAAGCTCATTATTTACATGGTTAGTTAAATGTACACATAACAAGCATATTTAAAGTAACAATAAGTTAAAGGAGAGAGTGAAAATAGTAGAGGTTCCCACAAGACAAGAAATATCAAGATAATTAAACAAGGAAACAATTGTAGATTTTAACTCATAGACCTAATGGGATAAATGTCAATATTCTGGTCATGAAGGTTATTGACAGAGCTGCATCTCTGACAGTGGTTCTCAAACTTTAGGGTACACAAGACTTAACCACCACAAGGTCAGTGAATCGAAACAGAGGTGACCAGGACTCAGGAGTCTGAGTGGTCCGCTGTCCCCATAGTTCCAACATGGGGGGTAACTATCAATACTGAGAAACAGTAGCACGTGCAGTAGATTAGACTTCAAGTTGTAAGGCTGGCCTCTCCTCAGTTTGGCAGGATAATCTTGAACTATGTTATGACTATTGGACCGTGGTATCCACTGCTACCTGTTTTAACTGCTGCACTTTCTCTTGCACAGTTAGTGTTGCCTGACCAAACTACTGAGATCAGAGGCAAAGGCAGAAATGAATGATGCTATTAACAGAGCCTCTTTCAGCTCTGAAGTGGAGGAGCTGCAAAGCCTGTCCCTCTACCACCATCTTCATAGCCTTGAGGACAGGCTTCATGGTGGTTTTACTTTGTGTTTCTTTTCTGGTCCACCTCTGTCATCAGACACAAACCAGCAGGAGAGAAAATGTTAGTCTCCAGGCAGCTGTGTTCACAGCGAAAGATAAATATCTGGCTTCTCCCTCATTTATAGCTTTTGTTTTCTTTCTTTCTTTCTAGAATATGTCTGTGCTGGAGAATCACCACTGGCGATCTACAATTGGCATGCTTCGAGAATCAAGGCTTCTGGCTCACTTGCCAAAGGAAATGACGTAAGTGCTGCAAGATGAAACAGACTGATGTGCACACGGGAAAGATAAGCACCTTTTCTGGGGCGTGCGTGCTTGGGACCTCCTGTATGAAGGGCAGGGAGCCAGTGCTGTGCTTCCTGCCTGCCTTTGGTTACCTATCAGAAGAGATGCGGTGTCAGTTAATGCAACCCAGAAACCAGAATCTCTCTGCACACTTTGCAAAGGCCCTGCATGGTTTATGACCTGAAGTCAGGAAAAGGGATCATAAACAGCTCTCGGCTTTCACACTCTTCAGCATCAACACTCTGCTTTGCCAAATTCCTGTCTTTTATGTTAGCAAAATTGTCCTCCCGTTTAAATCCAAAGAATAAATATTTGTCAAGAAGAAACACAGGAATTCTCAAGCTAGATTTAGGACTGGCTTGAGTGTGTTTTGTAATTGCCAGTCTTAGCAAAAATAGTAATCAAAAATTCTTTTCTAAAATGTCTTTCGATGAGTAAATGAATTGGTCCCAACAATCTTTTCACCATTAATTTGTCTAAGGGCTCCTCCATTTCAAACAGAAGAGGAAATACTAGTTTCCTGGTCTATTGTTTGTTAGCCTCCGTATGAAAGCCGAATCTTACTAAATCCAAGGCCATTGCCTCATTTTCATACTTGTCCCAAGTTAGCTGCTATGCTGTCTTCCAAGGACACCACTAATTCTGGTCTGTTTGATGACAATGTGCAGAACCCAGGGGAACTAACTGAGTGGCAAAAATAGATGGCTGCACCCTTCTTAATGACAAGCACGTAGCTTGAGGTCAAGGACCAAGTGGTATTTCCCCACGGGACAGGTAGCATGCTCTGGCCCTCTGATACTATCTCATGCTATTTCCTGGTATCCAGAGGAACATGGAATTTCCAAGAGAAACTTCAACCTTGATAACTTTTTTTTTTTTTTTGGTACGGGGATCGAACTCAGGTCCTTGGGCTTATGAGGCAGGCGGCAGAACCAGTGAGCTAAATCCCCGGCCCTAATCTTGAGAACTTTTTACCCCTCTGGAACTAAATAAAACCAGCCCTCATGCACAGTATAAAAATGTATGCCTTTTACTAGAATAATAAATTGCAGCACTGAAAAATCTAAATGCAAAGTGAACTAAAAACTGAACAAGAAATCAAGAAGGAGAAGGGGAGAAAAGAAAAGGTAAGTAGAGAGGAACAGGAAAGAATAAAATGAAAAGGAAAAGAAAGAGAGGAAAGAAACCAGGTTAAACAGTGTTATCCCAGATAATACCTGCATCCATCTTGCTTGTTGCTCACTTAGCATTAACTTCCTAGATACTCCCTATCATCCTTATGGATTTCAAATTAAAATGTCACACATTTATGTACCACTGGGAAAGACCATGTTACTTTTGCAAAAGAATAATTGTTATGCAACAGTACATGTGAAAAGACTTTATAATAAAAGTTATCATTGTGATCATCATCATTACTCCTAGCCTCATACAAATACTTTAAAGTCATTTTTCTCATTTTGAAAGACAGACAGATAAACTGTAAAGACTAAGGAAAATTGAGAAAAGTATATCACATGAAGTCGTTTTTTGTAGGGTCAAAAACTAGAATATTGGCACCTTTATATGGTTTCTCCTGTTAGAAGAAAATTGAAATTACTGGTAATCCTGGTATCTGGGGCTAGTTAATGTTAGCTTGTCATATTTCCTTTTAGTCTGCTTTCAATTTAACCGTAAAATAAAGGACTTAGTTTCGAATTTACATCCTGATATTTTTCACTTACATAAAGGTTTTTTTCCCATATTATTAAACCTGATAAATTTAAATTATTTAATTGGTTATTCATCAAAAAGGTGTCCAAATCAATGTAATTGATGTCTACTGTTTGGAACTTAGTTTGTTTAAAATTTTTTATCATTATAAATAATGCTCAATGAGAATTCTTAAGCATATGTTTTTATCTCAAATGCTGATACCTATTATTGGCCAAAAATTGAATTTTTAATGTTCTTGTTGCATATTTTCAATTTTTTTTCCAAAAAGCTGTAACTACCTATACTTCCATTTATGAATTATAAGAAAATCTACCAATGCACCATCATCAAAGTCAGGCTTTACCTTTCTTGTATTTTTTAAAATATTTGCAAACTTCACACACACATGTGAATATATATACACATATATGTTACATATGTGTGTTTATATATTTCAGAGATAAACAGATTTTCATTCCATTAGTAAGGATCTTTTAGTTAAACTGACGTTGAAATTTTTGTGTATTTATTGGCCATTGCTGTTTATTTAAAGAACAAATTTTTGTATTTAGTCTTTTCCTATTTTCCTATCAGTTTTATTAGTAAGAACTCTTATATTAACTATAGTAACCATATGTGTTGCAAATATTACTTGAGGTTTCTAGTTTGTTTTTTAAGTTGATTCACAAAACATTATATCTAACTAAAATATTTTTATTTTCTAATTATAAATATAATATTCACATTTTTAAAGAAGCCAAACAATGTTAACATAAAGAACAAAATGAAAATCAACCATAATCACATTATATCTTTCCAGATTCTTTTTTGTGACCATGGAAACCACATTTTGCACGCTTTGTATCCTGCTTTTTAATATAACAATAAAACATGACATTTCCATATCAATAAATATAGCTACACATCATCATATTTAATAATTGCATAGTACTAAAGTACCAGGGTTTAACTAATCTCCTATTTACAAATATTTGTGATTTTTCTCTCCTTAAAATGTTTCATTAGTCTAAACAATAGAATATGTATCTAAATATGTAACTTATTCCTTTAATAATTACCTAGCATGTTTATATAAATTTGTAGATGAACTGTCAAATTATTTCTACTATCAAATGCTGTTAACACTAATTCCTAAACTACTCTCCAGAAACATTGATAATTCAACAAATTATTTCACTGTTACTTTCTTTTTTTTTTTCTTTTTTTGAGTACCAGGGATTGAACTCGGGTCCTTGCGCCTGTAGGGCAGGCAGCAGAACCACTGAGCTAAATCTCTGGGTCTCGCTGTTACTTTTAATCTTTATCAATAAAAATGAGAGAAATAGTATCACATAGCTGTTTAAATCTACTTTTTGTTACTGAAAATAATTAATATTGCTTCCAATTTTGGAGGCATTTTGCATTTTTTGTGACTTGTCTGTTTCATATGATTAATGTTCAGAAATAGACTAAAGATACATGTATCACTTATTTTAAAATGTGAATGATGGAACTTTAAAGCTATTAGAATATAAGTAGGGGAAGTTTTCATTAGAACTATGAATGACTTCTTAAATAGGAGATAAAACCTAACACTAAATAAAAAGATTTATAGGTTAAGCTACATTAAATTTAAAACTTCATCAAAAATTATCATGAAGCAAAAGGACAATCCACATAGTGAGAGAGATATTTGCAATACATAACTAAAAAAGAGTCAGTATTTAAAATATGTGAAGGACCTTTAGAATCAATAAGAAAAAGGGAGACAAGCCAATTAAATTATTAAAACTAGAATAGAAAATTAAAAGAATAAAAACTGCCAATAAACCCATGGAAATATGTACAGCTTCAGTAGCAAAATCAGAGGAATTCATATTAAAACTACAATGTGAAAAAAAAAATTACAGTGTGGGCCAGGGATTTAGTTCAGTGGCGCCACACCTGCCTCACAAGCACAAGATCCTGAGTTCGATCCCCGTACAAAAAAAAAAAAACTACAATGAGTTGCATGATAAGCATCTCATTGGAAAAAAAAATGCAAAGGGTAAGAATGTAGAGCAATGAAAATCTCATCTATTGTGCCAGGAGTGAAAATTTAGACAATCATTTTGAAAATAATTGGCAATACATCAGAGATGAGCATGCACTGTGATCCAGTCACTTCTTTCCTAGATGTAAATTCTGGAGGGGCTTCTGCATGTGTATAAGTGGGTGTATACAGGGATATTTAATGTGTCACTCTAATGTGTTTCTAGTCAAAAACTGAAAACTGGAAACAACTCAAGTGCCCATCGATAACACATTGTTATATTCCTCCACTGGGATACAATATAATGAAAACTACAGCTTCCCCATCAACATGGATGAATTCCAAATACATTATTTTAAACTAAAGAAACAAGACAGGGATTAATATATATATCATATAACTTGAAGTTTAAAAGGGATAAAATTAAACCATATCATTTATACATGCATACACGAGTGGTGAAATTACTCTAAGTAGCAAGAAAACCACTAACACAAAGAGTAAGAAAGTGGTTACTTCAGACTTGGGGTGAGAAGGGTGTGAAGGGAGAAATGATGGGGATCTGGAGTACTGGAAGGTGATGTTCTTGACCTGAGTGGTGATTACACAGTGTTCATTTTATATTTATTCATTAAATTGTGTAAGTATGCACTATACACTCAACTTACATATTTCATTTCTAAAGATGAATTTTAAAAAAATTTTAAATGAGCCAGGCATAGTGGCACATACCTGTAATCCCACCACTCAGGAGGCTGAGGCAGGAAGATTCCAGAGAGTTCAAGGCCAGCCTGGGCTACGTAGTTTAAGGTCACCTTGCACTACAAAGCAAGACCCTATCTCAAAAAAAAACCCAAAAAAGTTTTTAAAATAAGAAGTTATGAATCCTTCCTTCCACTGATTATTTCTACATGTGAAATACATATCCAATATGCTTTTATTTTTACAAAATATCTCATTTCCTCTATGTCATTTGTCAACTAATATATCTCTTGCCCACTAGTTTTTATGGTATCTTAGTCACCCTTTTTTTCTTTACATTTGATTATGTCTTTCTGTTCTAGTTTATGCTGTTGCTAAAACTTTCCATCTTATACCAGTCCCTATTACCCTGCCCGTGAAAATCCTAATGTCTGAACTAGATTGAACCCTCCAGAGGCACAGCCCAAACTTCTGTGATTCTGCAGGTTTTGTTGTGTCCTCCTTAAAGCATGCGTTTCTATTTGGCTCTCAGCTTCCGTCACGGGAACCATGGAAATGTATAAACTTCCACCGTTGTTCACCTAAGGTTTCAATCAGTGCACAGCTCTGGCTTGCCTCTGTCTGAGGATGGGAGACTCACTCCTGGGCTGTGGAGTGCTGGGACGCTGTGTAATAAAGTGAACCTTAGAGGTGAGAGTGAGAGACACCAGAGGATAAGGAGATCAATCACCCTCCTCAAAGGGATTTGCTTTGTGAGTGTGTTTTTTCTCTTTTCATTCTATGGATGCAGACAGGATATTGAACAGCAGCTCGGCTCCCTGATTTTGGCAACAGACATTAACAGACAGAATGAATTTTTGACCCGATTGAAAGCTCACCTCCACAACAAAGACTTAAGACTGGAGGATGCACAGGACAGACACTTTATGCTTCAGGTAAACAACAACAACAACAACAAAAGCCATTAGCCTTGCTCAGCGAAAACACTTAGGGGCATGATCAGTGATTTTAGCACATGGAGAAGGAGTTGTCTCCCATGGTATAAATTAGAGTAGTGACCTACTTTATTAAAAGCTCTGAGACACATGAAACTGTTAAGTGGTTACCAAGCAAAGTCTACATTTCACATCAGTAAAAATATCTCACTTTTCCCAGTTCTCTTCTGTAACTACTTCATCACAAAGTAGCTCTGCTAGAAGGTCGCATGCATGCAATAAGTGTTACTTTATTGCTTTTGTGTTTGTTTTTGCAGTGCTGGGGATAGAAACCTGTGAAAGCTAGGCAAGCATTCTACCACCGAGCTATATCCCCAGCCCAAGGGTTTACCACATTTTGTGATTTTTGTGGCTTGATATAAAACTGACCATTACAATACCTATGCAGTCTTAAAAGCCTGTTTCTGTAACACAAAAGTATATTAGTTATAGTACCATCAAAAGTTGAAAAGCAAGAGGCTTTGCTTTACCTAAAATCTGTTTAAATGAGTGTTGCTTTACTATCTAACCTGTTATTTTCATCGGAGACTTACCATTTTTAGACACCGATAAATAAACTATTTTAAATTTAATTAATTGGATCAAGCCCAACCCTTTCTGCTCTACTGCATGACAAGAAGCCATTTGTAACATGAGAATGGGGGCAGAGTAAACCTGGGAAGTAGCAACGTGACCTGGTATCCAAACCAGAGCTTTCTTCTTGATCCTCCATTTTCTCTTATCTCCCTTCTACCCCTTTGGAACAAAAGACTGAATACATGGACCATGAATTCATCTAGATAGATCAACTTTAACCAGGGAGCTAAAGACAGAAGCATCCAGTTTTTTGTTCACGTCCTCATGCTGTGCTCTGTAGCTATCCAAAATGTTCCATCCTAGCCACGAAGACACCTACTTCCAGCTGTGGATCTGTGCCTCCCTCCTCCCTTCTTCCCAAGCTAGTCTTCTGGTACATGAGTGCTCAAAGATGAAGCAGGTGCTTGATTTGAGTGACTCAAGCCAGTTATGAGTAGTGAAAAGATTTGGCCTCAACAGTCACATTTCTCAAGGAAAATTTACTAGCTCCAATGAATCTCCCAAAGACAGTACCTGCCTGGAAGGGATGTCTGGCCCATACCTGCTCCAACATGTACCAATGCCACCACCAACCAGGGGGTAAATAAACAACCAAGTGTGCCACTTCCTGTGACCCAAGGTTCTTCCAGATACCGAGGGAGTGAGTTGAAACAATGAACCCTGCTGGTGGGCAATTCTCTTGGCACCAGTCTCTTCGCAGGTAATGCTCACAAGAGAGAATCTACGTCACTGGAAATTCAAGGTGACCTCCCTGGGGTCATCCTCACTGACAAAAGCTGGTATGCCTGACCCAGACCAGCGTGAGCAAGCCAGGAAGGCCTGGAGCTAGCTGTGCAAATGTAGCACTCCTAGGTTTGATATGACTCAGCACCTGGCTGGCAACCAGAGCTCACTCACACATACAGGCACAGGTATAGAAATGCAAACACACGTGATTTAAGTGCTGTATGGATTGGGTCAACAGGACAGTGAGTTCCACATGATTTCACCTGAGCCTGGCCAGGACTCCTGCAACCTCACTGCCTGTAAGAGGTGGGGCAACAGAAGGAACAGGGCCATGGCTTTCCTTGGCCTGCCTTACCCCAAGTCTCCTCCAGGAAGCTCTGTGTCCTTAGACTGTGGCTCTTCTCTCCTTCTGGCCCCCATAAAGCAGGAGTTATAAATGAAGGGTTTTGTGTAGTTGTGAATAAGGGCTGTTTCCTAAAGAGGCCAGTCAGGGATACCATGCAGCAAATCGGCAGGCCTCACAGTGCCCTTGGCTTAGGGAATATTGTCATCCTCTGACAATCTCTCCCTGCCTTGTCATTTCTCAGATCGCCTTGAAGTGTGCTGACATTTGCAATCCTTGTAGAATCTGGGAGATGAGCAAGCAATGGAGTGAAAGGGTCTGTGAAGAATTCTACAGACAAGGTTGGTAGTGATCCAGCAGCAGAGATTCCGTTGCCTTTTCTCCTTTTAGGCATTTATCCTACTAAAACAGGAAACGGCTAATCTATCATGACATTTGTTCTTCCATCAACTTGTATTATCCTAACCTTTCTCTTTAACTCTCTTGCAAACCATCCAACTCTTTTGTTTAAAAAAAATTTTTTTTAATGAATAATGTTGACTTACTATGGAAACAAGTAGGAATGAGACAACTAAAAAGAGTGAAAGTGGAAGATATATAGAGATATAGACATGAGAGAGAGAGAGAGAGAGAATATCTTTCCTCTGTGGATATAATAAGGTGAGGAGCAGTTTGATGTTTACCCTGACCTTCATTTTAATGAGGCGAGCACAGCCCAAAGGCCAAGTGCCATTTTGGGTCAGTGTCTTCTACTCTGACAGAGGACTCAGATCTTTCTGTCTGCCTTCCCCCCGGTTTCTCAGACAAAATTCATAATGAAATAGAACAGGGCTCCCAGAAGATTGAATTTATTCCTTTAAATATAGTTTCAACACTGAAGTAGAAAAATTTTGCTGTGAAAAAGATGAATGTCGGTGGGGGAAAGACAAATGACCCTGAGTTAGGGTATAATTTTTGAAAGATTACCTTTCTTCAGAAATGAGGCAGTGAATTAGCAAGCAGGATCTCGATGTTGGGTGGGATATGGGTCTTTGAACACAGCCTTGTTTCTTCAGGCTTGGTTTCAGTGTTCAGGATGTTTGTTCAGGCACCAGCAGTGGCCTCAGCTAGTGACAGGATCAGGTTTGAGAGGCTGAGAACAAATAAAGCTTGAAGCGTCCCACATACCAGCTCTGTGGGGAGGTCAAATAGCAACAGAGAGTCTTTTGGAGAAGCCTCCATTGAAAGATGTGTCAGTGACATCGCGATGGCCCCAAAGACAGAAGACAAAGAAGAATCGAGTTCATGTGGGGCCAGAAGGCTTCACTCACCAGGCTTTCTCTCAGAATAAAAGTCCTCATACAGTTCCTATAACTCTGTAATTTCACTTGAATTGAGTGTGCATGGTTAGAAATCAAAAGCTCCGTTCTAGTTGCCCACGATACAAAATCTCCACTGAGGGAAAAACAAAAGGAAATATGATGAAATTGGCACAAAGAGGTTTTAGATTAAGTACGATAAGTACTTTCTTTACTCATGTGATATATAAACTATTGAAATAGCAGTGAAACAGGAACTAGGATCTCCATCCTTGGAAGCTCAACAATGGGACAGAGAAAAGATTCCATTCTGTCCCATTCAGTTTTTACTCAATCACGTGCCATTCTTAGCCTTCGACTGTGGTTTAACCCTTTTATTTGCTCATGTAGCACCTTATGTAGACTCTGAGCAACTTGGGGCTGGGACCATATCACTTGGGTAGAGAGTAAGGCCCACAAGTTAGCGCATCAAAGTTGTTAACTAAGTGACTAAATGGCACCAACCAAGTAAAATACCCTATAGTATCTCTTTGCAAAATTGATCCTAAAATATATGCATGCACAACACTATAAAATGGAAAAACCTGGAATATTTGTAACTCTGATCAATAAAGGCGAGCTTTCACACACTTTGCTCTGGCACGTTCCTAACAAAGGAAGAAACAGAGAGGGCAGATCCAGTCCTTTTTATCTAATACCATATGATCTCCAGAAGTTCTGCCTGTTTTGAGAAGATCAGACTCTGGTCACCCAAACTGACTGTCCTCCACATTGATTTTTTTGATGTGCTGGGAGTCACTCTACCACTGAGCTATATCCTCAGCTCATTTTATTTTTTATTTTGTGACAGGCTCTCAGTAAGTTCCCCAGGTTGACCTTGAACTTGAGATCCTCCTGCCTTGGCTTCTTTCTTGAGTAGCTGGGATTACAGGCATGCACCACCACACCCAGTTCCTGACTTTTTAAAAAAATTCTATAAGGATGACTTGTATCCTTATAATTAATCCTATTCTGGTTTTCAGTTTAGGATTTAGACTCAAATCCCCACTCATCCTATCCTGCTCCTGGAAAGCAGGCTTTCACAGACTGCCAACAATCCTGGACAAAGTATAATTAATATGATTCATGATGCTGAGCAGAGGAAAAACCTCAAAATCAAGGTTGAAGACTGAGGAGGACAGAAAAATGAGATCCTGTGAGTTTTGAAAACTGTGAGAGCCTCAGAACAGATACTAGGATTCCAAACACCATGTACCTCCTCCCTGACCTCTCAGTACCTTTAAGAAAGTAGAATTTCTGTCCTGCTGTGACTACAAATTATATGTCTTCCATCAACCTAGTATCCCAAAAGCTTCTATCGAACATCTACTTCCAGCCTTGTGAAATTTTTAGCAAAACTGTGCTTTTCCTATAAATAAAGCCCCACTAACAACACTACATTGATAACAAAAAGTATTGCTAATAATTTTTGTTTGGGGGGGGTTGGCTTTTTGAACCCTCAAACTATTAGTCAGCAATGTGACTGAAAAATCACCATAAATAGGAATGCAGAGGTAAAGAGGGGAGCTGGCTTTAGGAGAATTCATTTTAATACTAAATAGTGCCCTGCCTTTGTTTCTGGTTAATTTTGTAGCTTCAGACTAAGCTGTGGATCAAATGAGATCCTTCTAGTCCTTCTACCTGTTTCCTACCTATTGTTCCCGGTTGTCCTCTGGTAAAACCAGACTAGGGCCAGGGAGCAGGGAAGGTGGGGAAGGTGGTGGTGTTGTTTTCTTAACCTGTAACTTAAAGCCCTAACTTTTCTTTCACGTTAGAAAATTGCCCATTCATTGTTTTGTTTGCATACATCATCTCTGAAAGTTTACTCTAATCCCAGGGCACACCTATTTACAGTGAACCCATTATAAGTGCTCATTGACACCTTGATATTTAAAATTTCCAAGCAAGCCACCATAGCAAGGCAGAGGAGGTCATTGCTAACAGGTTCCTAATGACAACAAGCCAAGGAACAGTGAGGCCCAGAATAACAACTTCTAACAGGGTCATTAAAACTATTGCCACATATTTTTAAAATTCTGGATTACCAATGTGTTTCATCTTTTTTTCCTCTTAGGTGACCTTGAACAAAAATTTGAACTGGAAATCAGTCCTCTTTGTAATCAACAGAAAGATTCAATCCCTAGTATACAAATTGGTGAGTTGAATTCCACATCAATTTGAAATTAATAGTTTGGCACCTCTTCTAGTGAAAAAAAAAAAAAAAAGACCCACATGCAGCTTTCCAAAGTTCAGCGCTGGAGGTTGGAATGACTGAGTCCAAATAAACTGGTATCATTCATGACTGATCCACTAGATAATTCTCAACTGAGAAATTATGAAAAACAGGAGGAAATCCTTGCTATAAACCCTTAACTAGCATAATGCTAAATTATTGTATTAACTTTGTGGTTTAGAATAGAATTAAAATTAAATCAAGTAGAAGAAAAGTAACAAGAATCAACTATTCACACTCCAAGGCTTTAAAAGTGGGAAGTCAGCCGAAGGGCTTTAGGACCCTTCCAAAGTGAGTCCCCATCCCAAACACTCATTCCCAAGGGCACAGTCCCCAGGCCCAAGCTGCTAGAGCCCTGTTATCCCTTTGTGGCCTAGAGTCCCATGTTCCTCTGTTCCCCATTTCAAATCATATCATCAAACTCATTTTCTTAAAACCACACTCTCTTTTCAAGTGTCAGTAGTGGTAAACTGCTAATGGGTGATGCGGGGGCATCCAAAATAATTGTTACTTTATCTCACTCTATTATGCATAAGATCATTAAGCACAGCAAATGATGGAAATTTTACTTTCCTCACTTGAGTGAAGAAAATACTTTTGCTCCAGTAAGAAATTCTGTCGCACCTTAAAAACTCCAATTCCATCTACATACAAAGCAAGCCTTTTCTTTTCCTTGCAGTTTCCATCCATTAAAACCAAACATATAACTTTAATTCTTTTTCTTATAGCTCTGGCAGTTTATGTTTTTATAGCAGCTCATTTTTTTTACTGTTCCCACAGACCTCAGGCAGCTTAACACATTCACAGGGCCATAGACCATGGCAAGGCTCAAAGTTTAATGCCTTGGCATCAGGAGGGAAAGGGGCATCTGGAAATATCAGTTGAAAACAAAGAAAGTCAGAGCACCTTAGATTGATATGCTGACAATCACTGTGTGTCAACTCTAACCCTCAAAGGAGTCATAAAATAAGCACTCAGGAAATAAGCACTGGGTGAACTCAGCTACAAAGATATGAATGGAATACACAAATATTCAAATGGCCATGTTGGCATTGTGACATTAAGGATGATCCATCTCTTTCCAAATTTTTCTTTATATTATTATGTTGTTTTGATAATTAAACTGATGCCTCCACCCAAAAATGGAAATACAGTAATATAGCCTCAGCCTCCCTGGATACAGTTGTGTCCTCTCAGATGCTTTAGTCATGGAGATTCTACAGATAAAGTTCCTAATCCCAAAACACTCTGTTTTAGTGCTAGCTAGAAAGAAAAAAATTCTAAACAACTGTTAATGATATTTTGAAACACACAGACACACACAGACACACACAGACACACACACACACACACACACACACACACACCCCCCAAACAAAAGCATTCACCCTTTTAAACACACAACCTGGATTTGCAAGACAGCCTTGATTTCAGAGATTCTGTTCTGTTGTTGTCATGAGAACACACTTGTTTTGTCAGATCATATATCCGGATTTTCAGCTCAGGAAATTGTGGTTACCATAGATACTTCTTTTTTAAATGGAGTGGAGGTTGAATGAATAGAGAAATCCGATGGATGCTACTCCAGCACACCGATATTAATGAGAAAGAGGACGTGATTATAAAATGACTCTCAGTTCATAAGCCTTTCTCTTTCTTGCTTCATATGTACCAGCTCTTACACGTTCAGAGTTGGGAAGTGTGACAAGGGTAGATCAGGCTAACCTGGAAAAACCCAATCCAATGAACAGAGTCTAAGGGATGCTCCAGGCTCCAGCCTTCCTGTCCCCTGACCTCCATCCAGCAATGATTTTCCCACTGGGTCCTAAGTAATGCAATGATTTCCTTTGTCCTGACTCCCTGAAACATCCCTTCCCTTTTTCCAGTCCCATTCCAAAATGAGACTTTTTTAAGTGCAGGTCTCAGTTAGGCTTAGATCTGCTTTTTCTATTTAAGTAACTCATATTACTCAAATGAAACTTGGGCTTAGTATTCCCTCCCAACACCAACAATTCCTCCTCTCTCTACCAAATTCAGTATTTTTAAAAGAAGGTTTTAAATTAAATGAATATCCAATTGGCCACCATTCCTCCTTTCTCCCACTCCCACCCCTCCAGGACAACACTCTAGCAAAGCCAGTCTGTCCCTGGGGAAGAGATAGTGGCAAAGCAGGCTCCCAAGCAGCTTTCCTTTCCATGAAAAACCATTTCATGGTGTCCATTCAGACTTTAAAATCACTTTCCTGCCTAGTGTAAGAGCTCTGTATATCTGATAAATGTAAATATGGATAGATATTCATACATTAAATAATACTTCATGCATCATTTCACAAACTATCTTTTTAGATATCAAATATCTAATTTTTAAGTAAAAGATATTAGAAAATAATACAGAGATTGTAAAGGAGATGAAAAAATTCAAGAATAGCAAGCCAGTGGCACGTGCCTGTTATGGTAGCTACTCAGGAGGCTAAGCCTGGAGGATGACAAGTTCCAAGCCAGCCTGGGCAATTTATCAAGACTGTGTCTCAAAATAAAAAATAAAAAGGGATGAAGGTGCCTGTCAGTGGTACAGCAACCCTGGGTTCAGTCCTCAGCACAAGGAAGAAAGAAAGGAAAGACGGAGAAAGAAAGTGAAGTGAAGACAAGAGAGGGGAAGAGAGAGACAAAGGGCAAGAGAGAGAAAGAGAGGAACTAAAGGGAAAGGGAGAAAGAGAAAGAAAAAGAAAGAAAGAAAGAAAGAAAAGGAAAGAAAGAAAGAAAGAAAGAGAAAGGAAGAGAAAGAGAGAGAGAAAAGAAAGAAAAGGGAAAAGAAGGAAGGAAAGAGAGGGAGGAGAGGGAAGGAAAGAAGGGAGGGAGGGAGGGAGGGAAGGAGGGAGGGCAAGCAAGCAACATGGGAAATCCTTATTTGCTGACTATATGACCTTATCAAAATGCCCAATACAGACATAAAGCCATTGGCTTAACTTCTTTCCTTCCATTCAGGTTATCTAAGATGATCTCACAGTACTTAAATCATATTTTGCATAAGATGAGATAATGCAGAAATATACAGTAACATTTCACACTGTTGTATCCTTTTTTGATCTTTCTAGCATTTTCAAAGGCCAAATGTCTACTGTTTGTCCAGTAAATGATTACCAAATCAAGACATGATTCACATGCCCATAAATACACAGGCTTAGTAGCTGGAAAATTTTGTTATGCTGTAAAACATTTGCCTCTTCTTCCCACATTTACATTTCAAGGAAAAACAATGAAACCTAAATAAATCCCAGTTTGTGATGATTCCAAGAATTCTGGCCTAGACTGAAAGTTATCCTTGCTTAACAAATCATGTTTAATATGGAAAACACATTAACATCAAAACACAATTAGGAAGCATCAAGTCTTCAATCATTAAAAGAACAGACATGCAAACAGAGAAGCTAATATCAAAAGATCTTCTGTAGTCATCAAAGTGGGACTGTTCTTGCAGCTAAAAATCTGTACTTGAAATGAATGGGCTTGCTTAACGCAGTTGAAAGCAAGATCCAAAGCAAGACAGTCTTGAAAAGCATATGGTACACCGTAAAGGTATGAAGTTTTCAGATGGTCTGAAGCTGTAAAGTATCCCTTCCTGATGTCATCTGCCCTTCTCTCCCCTCCCAGTCTGCCTTCCTTAGTTCCAGCACACACTCTTTTTCCTTTTCTGTTTTCATGTCTTTCTCTCTCTACAAACAATAACAGCCCCTACTTACCAGGGGCTTATTTTGTGCCAGGATCTGTTAAGCATTTTACATGTTATGTTAGTTAGTTTTTCATCACTGTAACAAATTCCTGAGAAAATCAGTTTAAAGGAGGATAGGTTTCTTTTGGCTCATGGTTTCAGAGGTTTTAGGGCATAGTCAGCTGACTCCATTGCTTTCAGGCCTGTGGGGAGGCAGAAATGCCATAGCAGAAGGGTGTGGTGGAAACACAGCTCACCTCATGCCCACCAGAAAGCAGAGAAGGGAAGAGGTGGAGAGGAAGGACCCAGAACTAGATTCAGTCCCCGAGGTCATTCCTTCATGATCTTCTCCCTTCAACGGGGCCCCATCTCTATTTCCATCACTGCCTAATAATGCAATTAAATCGTGATATCAAGCCAGGGTCATAGGCTACACCTGTAATCCCAGCATTCTGGAAAGCTGAGGCAGGAAAATCGCAAACAGCCCAGCCTAGACAATTTAGTGACTTAGCAAGACCCTGTCTCAAAACAAAATTAAAACAAAAAAAAATTTTAGTGGGGTGGCCCCACCTCAGAACACATGAGTTTTTTGGAGGACATTTTTGATCTAAACAAAATACATTGCACATGTATTGTAGACATGTATTGTCATTTAGTTATAATAACCCTGTGGGTTTGGTTGCTATTCTTCTTAGCTCCTTTTCACAAAAGAGGAAACTGAGGCACAGAGAAGTTAAGTGACAGGCCCACAGCAACACATCTCAGGGTCCTACACTGAGGGTACCTTGTCTGTGTCCCTGTCCCCTGCCGGGTACACTTGGGTCCCTGCGCGTGCGAGGAAAGGAGAACGCAGTGATACCTCAGGTGACCGGCATGGACTTGCCTGTTGCAGGTTTCATGACCTACATCGTGGAGCCGCTCTTCCGGGAGTGGGCCCGCTTCACCGGAAACAGCGCCCTGTCTGAGATCATGCTAAGCCATCTCGCCCACAACAAAGCCCAGTGGAAGAGCCTGCTGTCCAAGCAACACAGGCGCAAGGGCGCGGACCACGATGGCCCGGGGACTGAGAGTGAGGAGCAGACTGTGGCCGAAGGCGACGCACCGTAGCGCCCTGCTCGGCGACACTGGATCTCCCTCCTTGAGCAAAGCCTCCCGGAGGCGCCAGCCCTGAGAGGGCTCTTGCCGGCAGCCCAGCGCTCCTGGGTTTCATCCCAGGCTCTTTTGAACGCCACCCTCCTCCCACTTACCTGATTCCCCTCCTTTTTCCAAGTGTACAGAAGCCATTTGTCAACTCAGCATTTGCTGCCGAAATGAGCAACTCCATTCAGTCACGTGGGAGCTGATTCCAGGCAGGCCGCCCCTCCCACACCCCCCAAGGAGAAGACGGAGTGCGAAAGAGGTGCTTCTGCTGTGTCTCCTCTGGCCCTGGGTCGCACTGTGACAGGCAGCAGAGTTTTGGGGTTCACCATCTGACTGCTGATCTGCAGGACAAAAACACCAGCATATTTGGAACTTCGAGGATATTGGTTTTAAGTGCAAGAGCACAAACGAGAGCGTGAAAGTACCTTCTATTTTAATAATAATTATTATTATGAGAATAATAATAAATCTTTTTAACTTTTATATTTTATGCACTAGACAATGGATCTAAAACTTTGGACTAAGATTATTCAGTGTACCCAGACTTGAACAGGGGGTTCATTGTTTTGCTATTGACTTCATGCCACTTTGGGTCAGCGATTTGGCATCTTCTCGATTTAAGAACCACGTTTCCTTCTGATCTGGGGGAAGGTGCTGTACAGTTCATTTCTTTGCACCATTAGCCAATCTGTCTTTTATGGATTCAGTGACCTGTTTAAATTCACACGTGTACATTTCTGTAAATACCAAGCGCTACTGATTCCCATGCCAAAATACATGAGTATTATGGGATTGCTACCTGTATAAACAATGGCACTGTGAACAGAATACTGTTAGTTTTAATACAAGAGAATGCATTTGTAAATATGGTATAGAGTTTATTAATATACTATTGTTTGCAGATAAAGGCCTTAACTTTAAACATCTTTCGTCTTCTGAAAGCTGCCCAACTGAAATCCTCACAGATGTCTTTCTGAACTGCCTGCCCAAGTCCATCATTTCGCTTTCCAGCTAAGATGACAAACCAAAACTGAAAAAACCAAGGGGGAAACATTTTCATGGCAACTTCATGTGCATTCCGCTTGAGACCGTAGTGTTTAATCTATGGCACCAAGCATCGTTTCCTTAGATTAATGAGACCTTTCAGCAAGCCTGAAGTCACTTTTCAACACAGTGATGTGGCACACTCTGTTGTAACAAGCCAACTGATAAACTAGTGTTTATGTGACTTGTTATGGAACATGGTGTGCATCAGCCTCACAGGAGACATAGCAGGTCTTGGAAACCTCCTATGACCCTGTCATCCAACCATCAGGGAATTCCGTGCTCCCATCCCACGTACTTGTTTGTCGTGGCTACAGTACCAAAGTATCTTTGGTTTATGGTTGGCGTGTGTTTCCTTGGTGTTAAGAGTAACTGGATTTTTCTTTTTCCTTAATTTCATGTAAACAAATACCCCACTGTTTAGCTGAAGTTAACATTATTTAAGTAAAGAAACTATTTCAGTTTTATGACAGATTTTACCTTCCTGGCAAGTCGTTTTGGTTAATTATGGTGGAGCTAGCAGAGACACTTTGGAATTTTGTTGCCCTTTTTCTCTGCAGACACTTGGCTGCAAAATCTAATTTGTTACAGCATTTTTCCCTAGTCTGCTAAACTCTGTGTTGACTCCTTTCTTTAGAAGTTCTAGCATAGTTACTGCTCAATGAAAATTGTTGATGCCCATTTCTCTTTACCTTAAATAGTGTGGTAGTGGGAGAATAATCATTACTGCTGTAATCAAGCTCTTTCTCAAGCTTGTAGAATAACAGCCAAGTCTCAGTTCCTAAGTCCAATGGGTTTGGGTTTGGTTTTTCTTTTTTCTCCTAACATGCAAATTAAATGTTAGAAACTTGACTGGCTTATAATAAGTTCCTATAGAGAGATTGAGGCTTGTAGAGGTGAGGTTTGGGGGAAATTTTGGAAAGTTGGTTTTATTTTCATTAAAGAAGGTGAGATTGACAGATGGTGCTAATGAAAATGTGGAGATCTTATGTAATGGGTGGATGATAAATTGAAATTACTGATACAGGTAAAGAGGGAAGTGGTGTAAGCTTAGAAAACACTAACTTTTGCTTTTTCCAGTGACTATTAACTGACACGTTTCTTTATCACTTAAATATTCTGAAACGCTCAGCTTGATGTGGCCCCAAAAGAAGATAAGTTGAATGGATTCCTGCTTCCAAATCTTTCTTACTTGGTTAGATGATTCAGAGTGCTACAGAGTAGTCTGTTCTTAATGTGTATGAAATCAAATCAGGGAAAGCAATCGCTGAGAATCAGAAAGTAGAGATAGGAAAGAAGACATTGTTACAGTAAATGGAACCTCTTCCTTGAGTTTAGGAAGTGGATTTTGTTTAAATTATAATTATATCATGACTTAAAGAAGATAAAAGGTGGTCTAAATAGCCTCAAGTTTATAGGGCAAAAGTGTTCCTGTTACAATTTAGTCTTTTTTTTTTTTGTACCTGGGATCAAACTCGGGACTTTGTGCTTTCCAGGCAGGCACAGCACCACTGAGCTACATCCCTGGCCTCAATTTAGTCTTAAAGAACAGCTCACTGATAAAACTACCAAAACATCCGATGGCTAATCCTATGAGGTATCAACTAGTACAATAAAAATCTGAAGTGAAATGAGACATAAGGCAAAACTGTCATTCAACTCTGGAGATTTCTTGAGTTCCTCTTTGTTGGCAAAAAAAGAAAAAGAAAGAAAGAAAAAGAACATGACAACTCTTTTTTTCTTGCCTACTAGTGGCTCTCTTGTAGTATTTCAACAGGAATCCGATTATAGGTTGAGATATAACTATTGGATCATCCATGGATTTTTATCTTTATAATCTTATTCTGCTGGTTCATGGATCATCAACCATTGACTTAGAAAGTTCAATTCCTTCATTGCTTGAGAAGAAAGGACACAAAGGGCTATTTTTAGTAAGCTAAAGGTAAAGTTTAGATCAAATTAAGAAAGTAAGTATACATCACTGCCAGGCCTCATAGAAAAAGCAGCAATGAAAAGTCAGACCTGACTCATGAAACCCTGGCCTACCCAATAGCTCCCTGCTAGGCTAAATGAAAAATGGCTCTATTTCGCCTGCTTATGGCTTCCCACAAAGGGCCTTAGAGTGTGTCTGGCAACCCTGTCTTCAGGTAGTTGTTCCTACAAAACATAGATGTGTTTTGTAATCTTTTCTCATGTTGAATCAGATAATGCTCACTGGTTTGAATTTGGCTATGAGCTTGTATCCCACTGTATTTCTCATGCTTTGTTCCTTTAAGCAAATCCTTAAAATTGTGTACACATGTAAGGCTTGGGGAAAAATTTGTGAATTTTGCTCAAAATGTGGCCTAAATATCCATTGGCATGTCTAGATGAACAATTAAAAATAAAGATAATTTCTTAAAAATATCCCAATATGAAAATATCCTGATTCTTACCAAGAAACATGTTACCAGCCAACCAATTGGAAACATTTATGAGAGGAACGTTCAAGGAAAGAGCAGAGGTACAAATATGGTCCACACGACTCATTCCATCTGGGGCTACAGACACACCTAAGTGGATGATGATGTCACTTGCCAGTTAGCACCAAGTTAGGGACATGGGTCAACCTTTGGCTCTACATTTCTCCAAGGTCCTGATATTTTTCTTGATTCACATTTTTCAAATTCATACATGAATGAGAATAAGGTACAATGTTTTAGGTTGTGAAAACATAACTAAAGGCATATCAGCCTCAATGCAATAATTATTTGCGAAAAATACAGTCTCACTTTTCAGGATTAGAAACTATGTAGTACAATAAAATGGTTCAAGGCAGGACAACTGAGTACCCTAAATGTATCCTGAAATAGATGAGAAAAAGAGCACCATCCATGTTTCCCAGAAACATCCTTAGATCTTTATGTATTCCCTATGTCCCTTACATTAATATTTATATTCAGAATCTCCCTGATTTTTTTAATGCCTCTTCATGTCTGAATGCAAAGCCACATTTGTATGTGTGACATCATAAAGTCAAAAATCAACAGAGACCCCAGTGGTATCCCAACTAAAGATCAGACATGACTTTCAAAAGTACATGGAAGCCCAGATGAAACTTTGTCAAGTAGGGGGAACCAATGTGAACCTATATGAACAGTTAAATTTCAATTAAGCAAATATTGATAGAAGATTCACTGTGTTCCAGAAGTGCTGGATATTGAGATGTGAAAATACCCAATTCCTCCAGGAGCATTCAATATTGTGTCAATGACTTAGCATTGCCATTGAGTGCTTCCTAGAAAATTCTAGAAACCCCTGCAGCCAAAGCACCCCCCCTAGATCTGGTACAACATAATAGAAAGCAGATAAGTTTCCAAGATAAAAGTGAGTCCCAATCCTTTTCTGCCACTAACTTAGTCTGTGACTTCAGAGTTATAAAAATGACTATAAAATTAATCCAGATAATAATGCCTTTTACAGTATTGTGGCAATTAAGAGATTGCCTACAAAAAGCACCAAGCATTCTCTCTGGTGTGAGGTACACTTTCAATAGATAGAGTATCTCTCCACTTAAATAACAAGAAACTTGGCAAATAATTATTCACAGGTAGGTAAGAATAGGGAGAATTAAGGGGGAAATAGAGTAAAGAAGTGCTAGTGATTTCCCATTAAAAAATCAAACTCATTTTTACAGTTGTTGACACAACAATTTACATACTTGTTTATTTGCAAAGTTGAGTAAAAAGATAACTCCTTCAATCTGTTGCCCAAGGCAAGATCTGCCCAACCTATTTTTCTGTTTAGTTCCCCAAAATCTACAGTAAGGGACAGTGCATCTTTTCTTTGCAGTTCTGTGAAAATGTCAGTGAAGGAAACAAAAAGAAAACAAAATGAGAGTTGTTTGTCTCCCATGTATCTATGCCACCAAAACTAATTCTTGCTGGGATGGCTCTGCTCCTGTATGTCAGCCCTGAAGGTTTGTGGGGCTTTTTACAAGGAGTGGGCTTGGGTTGACACCTGGCAGGATTCCCTCAATCCACACAGCTCACATATTTCCAAATATGTTCCAAGCTATTTCTTATTGTCTGTCTTGGTCATTCTCTCCTTGCTGAGACACAATACCCAACATCCACAACTTAAAGGAGGAAAGGTTTATTTGGGCTCACATTCCACCCTGTGGTTGGCAGACTTCAAAGAAGAAACAGCATGGCAGAGAAGCATGGTGGAGGAGAGCTTCTCACATCTTGGGGTCCAGCAAGCAGAGCGGGAAAGGAGGAGCCCAGAATTATGATAAACCATTCAGGCCATGCCCCTGGTGACCTGTGTCCTCCACCCAGACCTCACCTCCCAATAGCAAGCCAGTTATACCATCCCATAATCCAGTCACCTTGCAGATGCGTGGCCCATGATCACATGAGGCTTTGTGGGCACATTTAGATATAAAGCAATGCCCTACAAAGGGTCACAAAGCACAGCCATATCTCAACATCTGTCAGAGAAAAGCTAGGACTCCCTTCCATCATCCACAGAAGTGTATTGAATAAACATTTGCGTAATGACTAAAGAAGCAGAGCTTAGCCATAAAACAATACATAATAGACTTATTTTTAATTAATTTGGAGAGATTTTGGGGGTTTTTTTGGTACTGGGGGTCAAACTTGGGACCTTGCGCTTTTGAGGCAGGCAGTCAGGGGAACCACTGAGCTCAATCCCCAGCCCTATTCAGAGAGATTATTGAAAAAATTTTGTTTTAGCAAAATTTTGTTTTGCTTGGTTATCCAAGCAAAGATGTATCATTAATTCGATTGCCTAAAATTCTTCATATTCTAATATGACAAGGACTGTTTATTCAGTATTTTTTGCCTTTTGGGGAAGCACTGTGGTAGCTTTGAAAGCACAAACTTTGGAATCAGACAGACCAGAATTTCAAATTTCTCATCACTAGGCAAATAGTTTAATGTCCCTGCTCCTCTACTTCTCAGTATGAAATGATAGTAAGACCTATCTCCTGGGGTATCTGTGAGATCAAAAGCAAATAGCATGCATTGCACATATATCACCATTTCTAGAGGAGAGGAGATTGCTATAGTTTGCACCTGGACTGTCCCTTAACGAGCTGGTCCTTGGCTTGGTGCTACTGGGAGGTGGTGCTACTTGGTGCTACTGTCAAAGACGGGGGGTACTGGAAGGATGCTATGTAATTAGAGGTGCATCCTTGAAGCAAATGTTGAACCGTGGCCCTTTTCTATCTCTTGCTTTCATTTTCCAGCCTCTGTACAGAAAAAAAGTTTCCTCTACCGTGCACCCCTGCCATGATGTGCTGCTTCACCGTGGGCCCAAATGTGATGGGGATAACTGACCATGGGCTAAAACCTCCAAAACTCTGAGCTGAAATAAACCTTTCCTCTATAAGTTAATTATCTCAGGTATTTTGTCACAGCAACAGAAAGCTGATCAACATGGTGTACTCAACAGATTCCTACAGCATTTAAGAAAAAAAGTCTACAAAGTGGAAGTTAGGATGCATCTTTCTGTAAGTTGTACCAACTTTTGTGCCAGTGAAAACACAAGACCCATTAATGGATATGGAGCATAATTTTATCCACAAGTGGCCAGGTTGGCCATAAAATAATCAAAAATATTAAACATAAAGATTAACATAAAGTGTTACACAAAATGCTGTCAAACATTATTGAAGAAAGAAGACCGTGTTCCTAGAGCACTTAGAACACACTGATAAAAGAGCAGAGACAAATAAGAAACTACGTCTTCTGATTTGAAAGTAAATACTCCTCATCCCAGCCATGGAGCACCAGTTTGGTTAATCTAACACTCTCCTAAAGTTGACGAGAATTCAATTCTGGTTGGAGAGAAGGTTTAGTAAAATACATAAACTTGATAATCTGCCAAGTGTTTGTGAATTCCACTCAAATCCTATACATCAGGATTTTCAGTAGTTCTTCTCTTTCTAGCTTCTTCAGGATCCTTTGTGACCATTCATAGCAACAAGGGCCTCAAGTTGTCTCTACAAACAGATAGCTCAGAAACGGACTCTGTTCTCCTAAAGTAACATTTCCCAAATTGCATAAGAATGTATGTACCGAAAGATGTATGTTAACTGCTCTCAAGGGGATAAAAATAGCTTCAACAGCCAAAGAAATTTGCAAAATAATGGATTAAGCCGACAGGTTTCTCTCCTGTATCTTTTCAGAGGTCTCATGTGCTTTCTGTCCACCAAAATAATACAGATGACAACATTTGTTTGGCCTTACTTTTGTTTCAGACCATGAAGCCTTCCTTAACTATGCCAATCCCAGATCATTGCCCTGTATCACTTTCCTGCCTTAGTACTATTAGTTATTTTTATAACTATTAATGATGTATATATGCATGTTCTATCCAACTTGAGGTCTTACTTAACACTGTAGTTCACTTGCCTGAGTTTGTGGCTTGGCTTTACCACTTACTAAGATTGGGCCAGTTTCCAAACTTCCTGTGCCTCAGCTTCTTCATGTGTGAAGTGATGATTAAAAAATACATATGACCTATTACATAGGGTTTTTGAAGATTGAAAGAGTTCACATGTGTAAAGCACTTTGGACAATGCCTAGCACATAGAAAAAAAAATTCATTCCACTAAGTGTTGGCTAAAGCAAACATCTGCCCCACCCTCACATCCCCTCACAAACACGATTTAAAAGATCCTTCAAAATGGGTGGAAGTATCTTTTCTGTTTGTTTGTTCTCCATTCACGGTACAGAAGGTACTGAATAAATACTTCTTTTAAAAACCCATGTTTGATTAATACAGTGAAAATCGTATCAAAATAATACATTAACATTTAAATCCAAATAAATAAAACCCCAGTTGTAACAATAAACATCCCAGTAGTTGAATTCAGATCCACCCCTGCTATTTGATAGACTTGGTATCTCAAGGATCGCTGTTTAGGAAGACAATAGCTTTCTCCTTCCAGTTTATGAGCACACTCTTCTGAGTGGTGAAGGCTAGAATAACTCCCCTCATACCCTGATTCCCAAACATCTCTAGATTTTTGTTCTATCCAACTGGAAAAGAAGCCTACAGAAGTATTACTGAATTGCTTCCTTTGTGAGGCTTACACAAGTCCCCCATTGTAGTGCACAATCCAAGAAAAGACAGACAAATCCCATTGTTCACTTCTTAAATATTTTTATTTATATATGTTTATAATACATAATAATTCCAATCATCTTGGGGAATGCTTATCTTTTAAAAATAACCTGGGTTGGCAGATGAGTCTCTTATTTTATCTTGTTGAAAGTTCTTCAGATTACAAGTAACCTACCCCCACCCACTCTTCTTCCCAATAAACAATTATTTGTGCATTTTAGAAGTCATCAGTAAAGCAAACCAAATGAACCAAAATGTAGGATCAGTTTGGA